TGTACCGAATTGTGCTATACAAATAAATTTGCCTTGCCTTGCCTAATGTCTTAGCAGGACCATGAAAAACTAATTACCACAAGAATGAATGTCCTTCTCTTTTTCTTTTTCTACAGCACTTTGCAAGTGAAATATGGTGTAAAAATCCATATGTAACATTTATTGATTTACATTTAGAATTTCAGACACATAGGTGTACTTCCAACCTTGAACTCATATGATTCCTCAATGATAACTTCAAGACGGACGTGTTCGCCCAACATTGGTCGTCCCATCTCCGCAATCCGCCTCTCTTCTTCCTCCTTCTTTGTCAAAGCCTCCTCACACACTCCATCTGAAACACATTGGAAGGATGGATGGATGGATTGAAGGAGGGATGGATGGATGGATTGAAGGATGGATGGATGGATGGATTGAAGGAGGGATGGATGGATGGATTGATGAGGACAAACCTGTGATGCTGATGATATTGGAGGGCGCGCGACGGTCTCGGCCCTGGACTTTCCTGTAGATGTCTTTACCTGAACAGGTGAACAGAAACCGAATCAACTGAATCAAAAGTTTTCCTTTTATCAGACGTAACTAGAACCGAAGAGGATTCCAGCTCCACCCAACATCTGTATGCACGTGAGAGAAAAACCTCAATCTGAAAAGAAACCTTTGGTGGATGTGAGTCGATGAGGTGAAGCTGAAAACCAGCATGATGCAGCAGTTACAGTCTGAGCCAGTTAAACATAAACCTCTGATGGTGAACAGAGCATGCTCAGTGTGTCATCACTTCCTCTAATAAGTCCCTGTTCTGACTAAAGGCATGCAGTCAGAATGTGATTAACGTCGACTCCTGACCCGCTGAGGCCATTGTGAGCTGGGAGATACGTTCTGCTGTGACAACATGTACAAACTACTGTGACTCCAGTAAGAAAACGAAAGCTTAAAGTGAGTGAGGGAAGGGAATGAGAGCTTCTACGGTGTGTCACCAGAACCTTTACCACAGGAGTACTTGGAGAAAGCTGGTTTTGCTGCTAAAATTAATAATTTGATGAAATTCTAATTCAGAAAGATAAAAGGCTTGTAGAGGGAAGGTTAACCAGCAAAAAACCAACTGGTGGTAAAGTTGAAGTTTGATGTTCAACCAGCCAACCCCAAGAAGATCTCCAGGAGAAACTTTTCTAGTAGATTATTTAATCTATGTCTTCCACATCACTCCACGGATAAACAGGTTTTCAAAATCTTCACATCAGTATTATGTCTCCAGTGGAACATAATAACAATCAAAGGCTCCCATTTAACAAACCGGTGGTTCTATGGCAGTTTTCTTTAATTCTAGTCCTCAAGGTCCTTCGTCCTGAAGCTTTTAGATAAGTCTCTGACTCCACACCTGAATAAAATGGCTAAATGACCTCTTGAATATTTGATAGGTGGTTTGAATCAGAGGCGTGTCTAAAAGTCATAGGGCACACCTGTATTGGAGTACTTTCTTGTAGAGGCTATCCCTATATATTTGTCAACAGTTTTTTAGAATTATTTTTTGGCCTGATAGCATTTAAAACAGCAACATCTCAAACCAAACCAAACGTCATAGAGGAGTTCATCATAGGTTTTAATTGGGTTTACACTGATGAGACCAAAGAGGGGATGTTTTGGGAAGATGGAAAGACGCATGTCGGAGGAAAGCATATTCAGTAGATCAGCATTAACATCTTTTGAGGCTCTATAGCGGGGGTGCTCAAGTCCAGTCCTAAAGAGCTACCATCCTGTAACTTTTAGATGCATCTCTTCTCTAACACACCTGAATTGACAGGCTAAATCTGTTGGGATCTGGAGGCTTGTCCACTTTCTCCACCAGAGGGCGCCTGAGATCTTCCTCCTGAGGGCATGAGCTTATAGCCTGACGTAGTCCGACTCAATTCTAGTCAGAATATGAGTCTGATACTGCTCCATAGA